TATAGTTGATGCATATTTACCATAATGTAGTTTATTGTTATTGTTATTGTCTGGAACTGGTATTTCTTATAATCACCATTATAGTATGCGATGGTGAAAAACACCCAACATGATAAATAATAATTGTATATTTTTTAGTCAGCACAAAATTTGTGTTGTAATGTAATGACAAGCGGATTAATGTGTGACACAGAATATGCATGTTGGGTGTTTTATTTTTTTGTCTAGTTGCACAGTTTATTAACTTGTTAAAACTAGTTTAAATTAAACTGTTTAATCCTGTGATACACATCATGGCCAACAGTGCATCGAGTTTTACCGAGTTTTGGGCACAGATATCGAGAACAATTCAACAGAATAGTCGACTTAAACAAGGTTGATTTACATAATGATCATTTTAAAGTATTCTTAACCTAATTGTTTTATTTGTTTGGTTGGTGTTTAGCTAATCGTAATGACAAACCAGTGGCCGAGTTATGGCCATCGAGTGATGGTTACGATGAGTCCCAAGAGGTCGTGCATCGCGGGCGCGGCGGCCGAAGACATGATACTCGCGATGATAGCGATCAGCAGCTGAAGAGTGGCGATCGTACGGCACGTCTTAAACAACTGATGACATTAAACGAAATGTACAAAAACGCGAACAAACTCTTTGAAAAGCCAGCGATCGCCAGAAGTGCCACCAATTGTCTGTCCAAAGATCATAATAATCACCGTCGAAGACAGTCAGGACTGTGTGCCGACAGTTTTACGGACACACAAGACTTGGCCCATCACTTGAAGACTCGCCACCCGATCGATAGCCAGAAGAGTGCCGCCGACGCTGTGTTGACCACCGATGGCGGTGACAATGACGACAACGAAGATCGGGAACCGCTGTCGTGTCCCGTTTGCGGCCAGCGATACAACTGTCGGACGCGGTTCGCGAAGCACGTGAGCGCACACGACGAGTCCAATCGGTTCCCGTGCTCTGCCTGTGACCAGACATTTGCCAAAGAGTGGACACTTGAGATACACGTCAACAGAGACCACAAGAGTGTGAAGCCGTTTGTGTGCGATCTCTGCGGACAACGGTTTTACGCCAACGAGAAACTGTTAAACCACTTGTCAAACAAACACAAACTGCCGGTCTATGAGTGTCCCGACTGTGACTACAAGACCAACAGCAAGTATAAGATGGCCAGACATAAGCAGATCCACTCCACAGATAGGTATCGGTGCGATG